GGGCACGTGCGGCAGAGGGGCGGTTGTATGTGTCGGAAAACGGATGGAGGGAGTTCGGAGTTCGGCTGGCATCAGGACAAGACCCATTGAGCATGTTTGCAGGGGCATGGCAGTTAGTATGGCAAGCGGGATTTGAGTTCGCAGATCCGGGGGTTGACGATGTAACAGCGGACCTTAGGGTAACCATGGTTGGGAATTCTGAATTGCCTAGTGAAAGTGTACGAATGAGGCTACCACCCTTCTTGCTGGAAAAACTGGGCGGTTTGGAACTTCTTAGACAAGCAGTAGCCGATCTCGCAAGCCTGACATATGAAGAGGTGATGGTACATCGAGAATACTACCGGACCTTCTTAGAAATGGGGTCGTTCAGCGGAGAGCAGAAGTACGAGCTGTTGCGCATCCTGCGTGCTGTGTTTAGTACCAGGCCGAGGGTTCCGGTCGTGGGAAGTGAGGTCCTGTGGGGCGTCGTGCGACGGGAGATAAACCAAAGAATGGCGTACGTAGATGATATGTACCGATTATATGAGCAGACGGAGGAGGGGACAGGTCGGTAATAGGGCCAAGGAGAGGGGAAAGAAATAGAAGGGGAAAATAAGTGTCAGGCTAGGAATCGGGGAGTTGTCCGGGCAGAAAATTGAAGACCAAGGGGGAATAAGTAAATTTGCGTGCTGTTTAGCACTGTGCAGGGAACTTCTAAGTCGGACATGGCAATGAGATGCGCCCGGATGCCGCGGCGACCCATGCACCCGCGACCACCCACGAAAAACGAAGGTGGATGGGAGGTGTCACTCCCAGCAAGCTACGCGATTTAAGGATTGGATGCCGAATGGAGAGCTGTGACCCTGGGAAGAGGACAGGCGTTCATGATGATGGAATGTTTGTGGGATGGTATGAGGATTAACAGGGGACTGGGAGACGACCTGTATACGGATCTTAGGGTGACGGGGACTATATACCTGCCAGAGCTCGGATGGCACATGTTGCGGACGGAATTGGCACTAGGGCATGGGTTGTTGCCAATCTTCCAAAGGGCTACTAGGGTACTAAACCGGGTAGGCCAGGAAGTGCGAGGGAGAAGAAATGTGGGGTTAAGGACTCGGGTGGAGGTAGGAGGTTGGCGAGAGTTTAAGGCCCCAATGACCGGGCTGAGGTGCCGAGTACCTCGCTTCATGGTAGACCTGGTATTGGGCAGCCTCAAGAGGGCAAGGGAGTTGGTGGACTCGACCCTGGTCTGGATCCACCTCTTCCGACCACAAACAACAAGCATGCTATACGATGTGTCGGTCAGACATGGGCCGTTCTAGGGGAATCAGGCCTGGGAGCTACTCGAATTACTCGAGATTCTGATATTCGGATTGCCCCACCTGTCATTTGAAGAATATGAGCCAATAATTATCAGGGAAATAGAGATGGGGGAAAATTACCTTGCGGGGGTGGCGTTCTTGTTCGAGGAACCGGATGAGCAGGGCAGGCCTGAGGGACCAGCATGAGAAAAACGTGTCAGGGAGAAGTAGGGAAATAAAGAATGGGTACTAAGATAAGTAGGCAGCCATCAGCAAAAGAGAGGCAGTGGTTGGAGYTCCGGCCGACCCAATGATGTGGCAGGGAGGAACTTGGAAGACCACCCGCTCCAAAGATTCTAGGGCACCTGGATGCCAATAAGCCGAAAAGGCCATCCCCGATAGGAAAGCCACTGGGCTCAGGTACCGCCCTAAGAATCAAAGCGCGGCAGTAATGAAATGCCAAAGCGGCGGCGGCAAGGCTCCGGTAGAAGAAAACCTGAAGGACGCCCCGGGAGAGAAAAGTCAGAAGAGTCGTACTGATTAATGTAAGACGCAAAAATATGGGAATAGGCGGGTTTTTAGGGACGGGACTAGGGCAGTTATGAACAATCAGCCATCTTTTCGCAAAAAAAAAAAATTTCCATGTGCAGGCTAGGTAAAGAAATGGCGACGGAGGAAGGGATTAATGACCAGCAGAGCGGAGGGAATCAGGGCACGAATGGGGATGGGGAACGAAATGAGGGATCAACCTGGGATCGAGAGTCAGCCAAACTGGAGGGGACCCGAGAAGACGGAAAGGACGCCTCAATTGGAGAAAGCTCGGGGAAAGCTGGGGGTAGCAAAAGGGGACCTCAGGAAAACAGGGAATGGGGAAACGATATGAGAACAAGTTCTCGGAACTCAGCAGGAGCCACACCTAAAAAGACGAAAGTCTTGGATACCAGTCATAAGCTGGCAGAGATAGAGACGCGGACCGCGAAATTTAAGGCAAGACTTATTGAGCAGATGATGGCCGGGGATGAGGAGGACCTCCAAGACGCAGGGTCACGTGAGGGACGCAGGGCCGGTCAGGACGAGGCTAGGTATGAGGGGAAGGATGATAGTCACAAAGGAACGCCTAGCAAGAAGGGGAAGGACAAGAGCGACCCCCCAGCGGAGGGAACGGAAAACGCTATGACCCCACCCGCCATTGACAGCGACACTAGCAGACTACCCGCCACGCCGAAAGTAACAGGGGCGTGTGACGGACTCAGGTTCGACCCAGAAGGAACACCGAAAACCAGGGAGAAGCAGAGGGAAAGCAAGGACGGGGAAGGAGCCAGTGCAGCCGGGGAAGCGGGTGACTCCGAAGACGGTCTCAAGAAAGTAGTCGCCACCCTCAACAGGACACTGAACAAGAACCAGGGGTATCTCGCAGATGCAAAAAAGAAGCTCATGTTCGATGGGGCCAACATTACGGAGTTTCTAATAGACTATGAGAACCTAGCAGCCTTCCTGAAATGGACGGAAGAGGAAAAGATGGAGCACCTAGGACAGCACGTATCGCTAAGTTTGGGAAGGGACATTATGGCCATCGTCGCCTCCAGTGGATCCTGGAAAGAAACCAGGAATGAGATGATGAGGAAATACCTGAAGGCGGAGAAAATGGCAACAGAGGCCGAATTAGCCGCAGTCCAGAGGAAAAACTATGCGACTTACAATGATTTCCGAAGGGCATTCACGTTAGTGGCTCTGCGAATTCCCGGGGTAACGGACCGTATAATGACTAAATACTTCCTCAGGCAGTTTTCTGAATTCGATAAAGATAAGATTTTGTCAGCATACCAGCAGACTAGTAAGTTCGAATACACGAGGGACGTCGACTTCAGCACCGTAACAGATCTTGCGGAAAAGACAGTGGTTACCGAGACGCTAGCCCTACTTAAGGAAGGGGAGGTCATAGATCTGACCGGGAAGACAGGGGATAAGGTCAAGAAGGGGATAGAGAGCCTGCACGAACGGGTGCCCGGGGTTGATAACAAGATGGACAGAATGGAAAATGCGTTGTTAGTAATGCAGGCGCAAGTGTCCAGACTCGCCCTCTCGCCCCAAGAGGCCGTGGTTCCGGCATCTGTAGCAAACCGGGGGTTTGGCAGGAGGGACCCGGCCAACGAACAATGCAAGTATTGCACCATGATCGGGCATTTCGTACGGGCCTGTCCGAGACTCAATCATGATATCGAGCCGCAGAGGTGCAGTAGGTCCCTCAAGGGCGAGATCCTCGGACCCAGGGGGGAGCGTGTTAATTGGAACTCGCCAAGAGGGATGCGGCGAGCCGTCATCCTCCTGAATAACTTAGAGAAAGCTGCCGTAGAAGCAGAGCCGATAGCCGAGATTGTCTGGGACCAGCCAAGGGGACGGGGACCACATGCCAATTTTATCCTAGAAGGCAATGGCCAGGATAGGGTAAATATTACCACTCGCCGAGCCGGGGCAGAAAAGAAGCTCATCCAAGATACAGTAATGGAGGAACTCGCAGGGACTAGCACGGGCCAGCAAGAGACCGAAGCCGCGGAACAAGAGAAGGTCTATGGGAAGCCACGGGAGGACGAACCGGTAGACAAGGCTACGGCCGCAAAAAAGAAGTTCAGGGATCAAATTCTGATCCTGACTTCGCCAGAAATCGATGGCACCTTGAGTAAGCTACTGGGTACCATGGTATCGGTGTCCTTTCAGACCATGCTGCAAGCCAGCCCAAGGCTACTTAAAGGACTCAGGCAGTTGCTAACGCGTAAGCGCGTAGAGGTAGAGGAGGCCCCGGAACTGCAAGAGCAGGACACGGAGGAGGCCGAGGCGCCGCAAGGAGTCTCCAACCTCCAAAGCATTCCAGGGGGCCTGGGAGAGTTGGAG